AATTTCCCCCATCCTGTAATAGAGTCAATGCACAAAAGCAGAGATGGAAACACATTTGCCGAATAAGTTTTGACGTAGCGAACATTTAAGCAGGCAGTACGCACGGAATTTCTTCTCGGTGGAGTCCAATGTGGGACAAAAAGGAAAAAGGTCAGACTCATCAACCGATGTTATTGTTGAAAGCTTTCGCATCGGTGCTACGTGATTTAAAAAACCAGAGTTTTCATTGCGCATCTAATCACACAGACACACACACGCATCTTCCTATCTTTGTGAGGACCACACACAGCGATCACAACCACGCACTGCGCATTCTTTTTTCCCCCAAAGTTTGGCGAGAGGTGGATAGAGGGGCACAGAAATGACTTGATCTGGCCTCATTTAAATAATAAAAATGAACAAACAAACAAACAACCTCCGAGTCTGAAGTTCACTGCGTCACTCCTCTTCCTCAGTCTTCATCGATCTGTGGACAAGCCTACTGACAATGTGGTGTGTTTGAGGAAATGGGAAAAACGGGTTTCATGGTTCATGGAGTCACGCACTTCGTGGTCACAAAACATTCTGTAAATGCGCACCAAATGCATTAAAATGCGCACAATATGGCAAGAATTATTCATCATTACATCTGGTTTTAACATTACTTTTATAAAGTTTGAAGTCCAAACACTGAAAGCTGTCACAGTTTTTTACAGAAGCCCTGTGAAAGCATCACAGCTTTGCCGATCTGAGAGGATTAAAAGAAAAAAAAATTCCTGTATCCGCATCGTGATCCGGAACATCACCAAAATTTAAAGGTGTGTTACTTGTGCCAGTATCCACATGTGGTGTAAATGTCATTAACAATCCATCCACAAGTTTTTGAGTAATGTTGTTCAAAGACAGAACGACAGACATACGTGACCGAAAACATTACCTCGCCATTGGCGGAGGTAATAAAAAAATCTTTAAGACAGGTAAGTAACATTCAACTGGTTGTGTCGCCACAGATGGCAGTATAAATATACTTTAAAAACTACTCTTTAATATCAAGCATGTCTGTTTTTTATAGTAAGTCAAAACCAAAACATCAGGAGAAGTAACCAAGTACATTTAAAGCCTCCATTTAGAACACTGCATGGTTTACAAGGCTGATGGATTCGGATCTCTTTAAGAAGAAAGAAAAAAGCGGTGAACCCCCTCATCATTCAGAACAACATCTATAGCCAGACTGTTGTACAACTGTTTCGCCTCTAGTACAGACACAAGTTTTTAAAAACATACTGACAAACTACTTTTCCAACAAATGAATTATGGTAAAGATTTTCTGACTCTTTGGTAAACGAGTCTAAAGACTGGGTTTCAACAATTTTAAGTTAGGATCAAATATTTCATGGCCCTAGCCAACAGTTTTGTCAGCTTTAGAGTAACAAAAGCAGTCAGCTCCCACAAAATAAACCAGGTCACTCCACTGAAATCACAACCAAATACAGTTCAGTCAGTCTGATGTCTAAGCTGCCGCTCAGGAATGTCAGGACCAGAGGAAGTGAGTGGGTGGGAACTGGAGATGGAGAATGTATAGGAATGTCTGTCACCATATAGCTTCAACCTAAAGCTAACAAACAGAGCTCAACAGCCTAAAGGTCCTGCAGATACACGCACTAACAGATGATCCAACAGCACAAAGAATTAGCTTTCTTTATTAATCCACTTTATGTTTAATTAGTTTAAAGTGTTTTGACGGGCAGATGTAGAGCTGTTCTTGTGTTTTCTCGAAAAAGCGGAAGTGATTTTTCGCCCTACAATGTACGCCTTTGTCCTGGGATAACGTCAGCTCTGATTCTTATCGGGAGCGTCCCATTGTCAACATCCTCTCCCGCCAGCTAAAAGAAAAAAAAATCAAACACACATCCTGAAATACATGACTGGAAAGCCACAGTTATTTTTGTCTTGCAACGAGCGTGCAGCTTCACTTTGAATCTTCACTTTCTTGTGTGCGTTTTTCCCCCCCCATCACGAAATTGTCACCCACACACAAACCGTGGGATGTAACTTCCTGTCGAGTATTTTGTCAAACTCTCGGCTTTGTGTTTGTGAGCTGTTCAAGTCGATGAGCGGAGTTCAAACTTAAAAATAGGAATAGCGTTAAAACAGATACTTCCTCACTCCCTCATTCCTGATTGCTATCTTTCATCTTTATCTCTTCAGGAGCTCACAAAAACAAAGTGTTACAAAAATAAAAATCACACCAACAGGGCAGCCACGCACCTCAGCATGCCATGCTGAAGCGAACCGAAACCTCAACTAAGCAGCTGTTTGGTAGGCAAATCAGAGCGCTCCTCACAAGTGTTTAAAGGTTTCTGCTCAGCTGCCATTTTACATTTCTAGGCCCCATCAGCAAGAACAAAAACAAGAGTTTGGTTTAACAGAAAGAAGAGACATGACTCTACCTGTTGCAGACAAACCTGAAACTCACACATATCTGCACAGCAGACCACAAATGTACAAGAAACAGAACAGATGTAAGACTAATTTTTACAAATCAATGAAAAACTACTAAAATTTAGTGCTCAACAAGGACAAATTTATTACTCTAACATGTGAAGCTTCTAAAAATATACATGAATCATGTTTTGACTTGACTCCAATATATAATTTTCACTAGAAGATCTCATAATTCATAGTGAGAGTCAGTAGCAATTATGGGCAGTGCATGATCTAACTAATAAAACCATGTCTGTGTTTATGGCAAACATCAAAACTGATTTTAGAAATTATTTTTTTATTGATACTGGAAGTGAGTAAACTCATTTAAAAAAGGAACAACATATTTTGCTAGGGTTGGGCAATATTAGCAAAAAAATTAATCGCGATTAATTGTGGTATTTAGCCGATGACGATTAATCCCCTGGAGTCCCCGGACACCCTTATTTTGTAGTCACGTGATCATTTTAGAGGGAAAGATTTGCACTTTATAAAAAATTGTTCCAAACTGTGCTCAGACGTAATTTGATTGTTATCTTTGTATGAGATTTGATAAACTAAACAATTTTTCTCCCTAATTTAACTAGGACCCCCTTAGTTAAAAAGCAGCTAAAAGCAAAACTCACCTCACCTCATTCCAAGCCTCAAACTCACCTCTCAGTGTTTATTTTATTGTTTGTCTGTTTGTTTGTTTATTTATTCACTTGTGATTGCAAACTCTTGTCAATTTTACCTGGTTCAACATGTCATCACTTCTTACTCACCATAGTTGTAAATACATTTAATCTGTAAATAAATGACCCGTGGAGAACGTGCCAACATAAGTTAATGTCACTTTTGTGTCTTAAAGTATTATTGGTTCTGATAAGGACAAGAACTCAAACGATTTTGGGTACATTTATTGTGAGACTGATTACAATWAAGTTACAGGTTTTCGTCTCTTTCCTGGGTTAATTTTTGACCAAATTAAGAACGTGGTGCCTCGAGGTCAGATAATGTGCGTATTTAAATAATTCACAAATTATCCATTTTAGAATATACCCAAAACCCCTACACCTATTTTGAACATTGTCGTGAAGCATAAAATAGGATTAAAAAAATATGTCATAAAAACAAGTTCCCTAAAAACTATTCGACAGCACAGAATAATTTGTTATTGAAACTGATGCCAGTTTTCATTCTTAACTCAACAAATCTTCAAAGCTATTAACCTCAACAAGCGTAAAGCTTCCTTTGTTTTCCACAATTTCAAAAAGAATAAAACATAAAACTAATTAAGCTTGTAGATTTCTTCATAGAAACCACAGTACAACATGGTACAGTGGTTGAACTCTGCGTGCGGTGTTATTTTCCTGCCTCGCCCCAGTGATAACGCCCTGAATATGCCAACAATGCCGTCAACCAAGTCAGGCTTCTGCAACCAAACATGAAATTTGCAGCTGGGCCTCACTGCTCTGTCATATCAATAACTACACAGAATGAGGGATGGCCTGAGTGGAAAAGGAGGACTGCAACTGATGCAAAAAGGATGCAGAAATTAGATTATGGGGAAGGGGGATGATGAAGCTTATCAAACTACCGGGGCATTAGTGCCAGCCAGGGTGGGCTGTACCACTGGGTCCATTAGAGCTTTCAGCACCGTTCATTAAACCATTAGTGACAACTACTTTAAGCTTCCCAGACCAGCCACTTTTAACTGGCAGAGACAAATGAGCTCAAACGGACTTGAATGATCCTCTTCTTTCTGCTTTTGCTGTAAGTAAAGACAAAGCAGCTGTGTGGCAGCAGGTTCAGCTACAACCTTTGAGCAAAACAGCTGAAATTCAGCACAAAAAAACGGGCCTACGGCTTACAACAGGATCAGACTTTCACTGTTACCCAACATGATCAGTGACGTAAGTATTCAAGGGGTCTAATTAGTGCTGCTGAGGTAAACAAGGTAAAAGAAAAACAAAAAGATTTACTATTGGTTCACAGATTTGAGAATAATCTCCCACAACAGAGCAACAAACGTAAATTGTCACAATCCAAAAGGGTATAAAGGCATCATTTTATCAAGAAGCCTATTCAAAAACAAGACTTGCATCTGTGCTGAGTCAGGAGAAAATGTCTGACACACCTGTTGCTGTTTTCACTGAAAACTGACCCCTGGCTTCAAACTGCTGAACGGACCGTCCTGTGAAATCAGCCCAAATCATGTCAAAGTGATAAATGCAGCAGCAAAACAAACACTTTGATGTTAGAGTATGGTTTGAGTTTAGAAAAGAGTGAAGAAGTGCCATGTTTAATCCGGATTATACAAAATAAAAGCACGAGGAACACATCGGCGCAGTTAAGACAGGGAGAGGGAACTGTGAACAGAACCAGACGGACTGGAAATCATCCAGCAGAAAACAACACTTTTCATATTTAGTCTCTGAGACTTAGACGTCTTCAAACATAATTAAGTTTTAACTACAACACGTGACGCTTTGGAGCCGCCTGAAAGACGATGTGGTCGAAATAAAATGTCTCTCCTTTAACAAAATGTTACTCACCGACTCCTTCTTCCGATTTCAACACCATGTTGGCGCCTGTGTCGCAGGTCCCAGTCCGTCCGCGAAGAAGTTTCTCGAGGTTTTCAAGAACTAAAACTACAAACGATATCGAGACGTTTTTATTTCTGTTTGCCTTTAAAGTTTTGTTAAAAGTTATACTGCGCTAGGTCTCCTTCGGTAACCGCAGGCAGTTTCAGCCGACAGCTAAAGGGAGTGGTTTGAAGGTAAGAGACGGACTTTAAACAAGGCTTTCCCGAGTGGACCGTCAAGTCAAGCGGAAATTGATCTGCTTCCGGTAGTGTCTTTCAAATTAAAACAACCTCTTTGGGAACACGCTGACCAATTTTTTTTAGGACTATTAAAACATGCAGTAAACCAAAGTTTGTTTGAAATAAGAATGACTTTCAGCATTGTGCAAAAGTCTTGAATCACCTCTCATTTGTTTATGTTTTGGCTCTTGCTTTATTTTTACAGGTTACAAATACTTGTTTTCGTCACATTATCGTTCCAAGACTGCCACGTACTGCGGACGACACAAATAAAAGCACCACTTCGCTGCTTTTTGCAGATAATGTGAGTTTGTTAGCTTCGTCCCATTGCAGCTTTAACACTCACACATGCAAACGGCATAGATAATTGCACCCCCAAGTCTGAGGCCATAATTTTGTATGAAAAAAAAAAAGACTGGTTTACATAAGTCACGTTAAAATAGGGACAAAAATAGAAAGACATCTTGCATTTAGTCKTTCCAGACGGAAAAAAAAATGATGATTTCATTTTCCACACACATCTGTGCCAACTCTGTAGTTGGTCATGGTAATTAGATGTGAAATATTCAATTAATGCACTGTTAGGTATAATCCAGTGAGTTTATAGCATGAGGAGTGCTGAAATAAGATGTTGCTGCACAAAAAGGAGGGTTTGAGGTCACTCATCAGTTGAGATGTTTAGGGGATTGGGGAAAAAGATTAGGGATTGGTCACCTGTTTTAGTTGCCAAAATTCCTTAGTTTTGAGAACATGCCGTCCTTCCTCTCATTCCCTTAAGTGCACTAAGTTTTGTTTAGTCAAACATGTTAGTCGAGTCTGAGTGACTGCTTTATTCAGTTTTCTTTGGTGTGAAACTGAAATGGGATCCACTGTGGCACTAAAACAGGACCAGACATTGACATTGTCATGATAGTAAAAGAGCACAAAGTGTCTTTCTCACCTTGGAGTTACGTTCCTTTCTATAACCTGCTGGATTTTTTTATTTTTTATTTTTTTTTTGATGCTATGAAGAAAGTAAACTAAATCCTAAAACAATGCAAAGCACATTCAATCTAAAATAAGTTGTCAGAAATAAAGTACATAAATTATTCATTTTCAAGTAAGAGAGACAAACAGTAAGGCCAAAACTTTAAATCGACTCTTACTTTGAAGGCGAGGTTGCTCCACATCCGGTTGCAGTCATAATTGAGTTTCGACATAAATGTAACAAACAACTGTCAGCAAACCGCATTGTACGTGACGGTGCTGACACCTTCTCTGTACACACACACACACACACACACACACACACACACACACACACACACACACACACACACACACACACACACTGTCTCTCTA